CCGTTTTAAGGCTCAAACAGCATCTCAGCTGATGGCAGACTTGCCAAGAGAACGTCTAGTGTGTTCGCAACCATTTACAAATGTTGGAACAGACCTAGGTGGACCATACAATCTCAAAACTTCCAAACTTCGTAAGGCTCCTGTAACCAAATGTTATATTGTTGTGTTTATCTGTATGGTCACTCGAGCATGCCATCTTGAACTCGTCTCCAATCTAACCACAGAATCATTTCTGCTCACCCTCAAGCGTTTTATCAGTAGACGTGGCAATCCCTCTGTCATATTTTCTGATAATGCAACCAACTTTCTTGGCTCCAAAAATCAATTGAGAGAATTTGCTCAATTCTTGCGGAACCAAGACACTCAAAAGTCAATAAAGGATTTTCTCGCTTCCTCTGAGATTACATGGAAATTTATACCTCCTCACTCTCCACATCATGGTGGGATCTGGGAAAGTGCCATAAAAAGTGCGAAGTACCATCTCCACAGGCTTGTTGGCAACCTAAACCTCACGTTTGAAGAATTCTCCACTGTATTAGCCCAGATAGAGGCTGTTCTCAATTCTCGGCCCCTCAGTGCCATGTCCAATCAGCCTGGGGATCTCTCTGTACTCACCCCTGGTCACTTTTTAATAGGCAAACCACTCACCTCTTTCCCAGAGTCCGATGTAAGTGAAATTTCCTCCTCTAGACTAAATCTCTGGGAAAATTGCAAAAAAATCAAACAACTTTTCTGGAAAAGATGGAGCACAGATTACTTGAATAGGTTGCAAAACCGTCCCAAGTGGCTCACCTCAAACAAAAATATGAAAGAAAATGATCTTGTCTTGTTGAAGGAAGATAATACACCTCCCTTATATTGGCCGCTTGCCAGAGTGATTGAGGTCTACCATGGCAGTAATGGCAAGGTGCGGGTTGTTAAGATCAAAACGAAGGATGGAACTTTCACACGTCCCATCACAAAATTGTGTCCATTGCCAGAAGAGTATTCTGTGTAAATATTAGGTAAATGTTACATTGTATTGTAAAGTGTTGATTAGCTACTAAGTGTAATATTTTTTAGGGAATAAGTTTACTCACCCATGCATTCTATGTTTAGTTGATAGTTTATTGTTAAGTGTTCTCTAGAATTAGGTTTACAGTAGAATTCATCTTCTGTTAATCTAGTAACTTTGCTCTTGTTGTTGTCTCTTGTTGTTTTCTCTTGTTATGTCGTTAACTATTTTATTATTTGAAGCAATGCTTCAAGGCCCGGGAGTATGTTGGAAAACCAACTAATTCTTTAATTGTTTCAATTTAACCTAACGCCGCCTCTGTTCCTGAATAACACATGTTAGCCCTTATTAGTTAAAAGAACCAGAAATCTTCAGTGCATTTGACGCCCCTCTTACACCCGCTGACCCTTTGTCATTTACCCAAGCTGGCCACATATTGCATACAAGCATATAAGGGCAGTCGCATTAAGTAGTTCAAGTTAAGAAGTCGCTAAATAAGTTATTCTCTCTCCTCGTTCTCTCTCTCTCTCACCCGTATATATATATATATATATATATTACAAGTTACATTATAAGTTAGTTTAGTGTTGCAAAGTGCAAGGTGTATATATGTAAAATAGTTTGCAAGTAAAATAAAGCGAAGAAGTAAAGTGTAAGTGTATAATTTCACCCCCACAAGAGTAACAAAACGAATCAGCAACCTACGCTTAAATCCTGTAACCAATCAAGACAGGTCACCACAAGGGTTTTGGTGCTCTCAGGGAACGTTGAAAATAACCCCATCGTTTCCCTTTACTAAGTTTAAACCTATTTTTAAAAACTTTATTGCGGCTTCACCTCGTAGTGGACCCAGCTCGTCTGTTTAGACTTCTTGCATTGAGTATATCCATTAAGAATTTATTAATTTCATACTTTTATCAACATTACTATGGTATTCTTCAAGAATTTACAAACCTAGCTTACTCAGATTCAATTGATCTATAGGTGGCGTTAATTACACTCTCCATATCTCGTGTGTAATTTAGATATACCATCTCAACAATTGTAAATTTCAACAGCTCCCATTGTTGGTCAGTTGGTCTTTAGTAACGCTTTTACATATTAGTTTTATAGTTCTCCCATTGACTGGGGGTTTAACTGAATTACTTAAATTATACCCCATTTATACACTGCTTCCAATTTTGTTTTTAATTTATAGTATTTTAATTTCATAGTCAGATTTCTTCTCTTTTTTACAGTATTGATAATGCCTGGTAGACCATTTTATTGGTCAACCACCCACTGTCTAATAGATTGTTTAGTCTATTTCTTTCATTGACACTTTATGTCCACTTCATTTGCTCACAAACTAAAAACCTTATTATTATAGACAGATGTGAGTGTGAGATCTGGATTATGCAATCTAGTTAAATTAAAATATTCTATATGCCATACTTTATAAGCTGATTTTCTATAGTAGTGTCAGTTGGACCTTTGGTCAATGCCAGCTTACTTACATAGAATTTTAATAAGTGCAGATCACATTTCCATGATTTTGACTGCACATCAAATCTGTCAGATGTCACCTTAACATTTCCGTTAAATACCATTCTCTCTCCTGTTGCCGACAAGAGTGTAGCGTCGAATAATTTTTAAATAATTTTAAACTGTTTGTCCTTGTTTAGTGTAGTGTTATGTACAATTTATGTTTTATTTTCATGTTTATTACATTCTGCACTTGCTGAATAGCCCAAATTTGACGAAATAAGTCTAAAACGTTAGTCACAAAAAACTTTTATTATCCATTAACTTCGAGTTTTTTATCGAAATTAATCAATTTTCTTCATTTAAAAAAACGTTTATTGGCTTATTTCAGATGCCCCTGATGATGCTTTAGAAAGCGAAAGTACTTGGGCAAGATTTGATGAATAAAATTGTGCTCGATATTTGTCTTTAATTTTTCAAATTTTAAATATAATAATAATAATAGTCTCCCGTTTTATACCGCACGCGGCTTTGGGAGTATAGCAGGGTAGTCTGCTATATCTAGGGCCTACGGTATACAAGGAAGGTAACATGGCCAGTGCTACGCTTCAACCGCCTATTATTACCCCTGGTTTTACCCAAGGTACTCATTTTATTCAGGCTGAGTCGACCTGGGGCCTATAGACATTTAAAAATGCCTAGTTGTTCTTGCCGGCGGTAGGATTCGAACTCACGACCACCGGCATGCGAGGCAAGCACACTACCGCTTGCGCTACGCAGGCCCTAAATTTTAAATATATTATTTATAGAAACAGGTGTGATTAAACTAACTTTTAGTTGTCAAATAATAAGAAGTTTACAGTATAGTATGTACCAAAATCATATGGTGATTTAGAACAAGACTGCAGTAGATATAATGAAATAATAAAAACGGGATATTGCACTCAGTGTGTGACCGAGGAGTGGAAGCATAGCTTTCTTATCGACTAAGCACGGAGAGATGGTTTTTCGTTTGATTTAATTATTTATTTTATTTCGATTCGATATTTGATATATTCGACCTGACTCAATTCGACACGATTCAATTCTACGCGATTCGAATCTATTTTATTTTATTAATAAACACGCATGGGACTAAATTTACTCCTCCAGCTAGTGTGTGGTCGCGCGATATGTCATTACAGTTTTTACTCTGGGTGTGATTCTTTCACAGCTCTGTGCGATCCACCTCTCCGTCCATAGCCCGTAATAAGAAAGCTATGCCTCTAAAACCATAGTGTCTGGTTTAGTTATCCCCGAAGTAATGTGTTAATTTTTGAAATTTGCATAAATCTCGAAAGTGTACTATAGAGTTTTAAAATACGCTATTATTTATATTTATATTCGATTGACTGAGCTTGGGAAAATTTTAAATACAACAAATTTCTACCACTCATTAAAGTAATCTTACAATATAAAAAATAATAGTTTTCCAAAATTTTTTATAGTATGGTAAATATTAGATCATTTTATTATGTGTTGCAAAGTCCTTTAATAAATTTATAAATAAATACATTATTTTGGTGGTGTCTGATTGTAAGTAACTATTTTTTAAAGTACTTTACAGCATGTTATGCCTCAGTCCCCAAAAACTTCATTTCATCCGCTTCTCCAACCTGTTCGGGATCTTCCACCTGGTTTCCATTATATAGTTTTATATCATTTTTATTTGGAAAGTTTTGTAACGGGTATATATATATATATATATATATATATATATATATATATATATATATATATATATATATATATCGGGCTTTGTACGTGGCCAAACCAGATTAACCGTTTGTCTTTTATGTCATCGGTTATTTTTATTTTTCCCCATTGAATATTTCTCTCACTAATGGCTCTATCTAGTGTTGCGATGTAGGTAATTTTCGTTACCAGGCATTTATATTCGCTACAATTTTGTATTGCAATTTCGTTATCTACTATAAGGCTTCTTTGTTGTCCTCTTATACACACACACATGTACTCAGTTTTTTTTGTCTACTTCTAATCTCCATGTTTCGTATTTTACAAGCTTACTTTCCAACTCATCATACCATTGGGCTGTTATTACCTAGATGTCCGTAAAACTAATTGTATACCGAGTATAGTCGTTAACTGGCAGTGAGAATTTTCTTCCGTGAGGTGATGTAAACTGGCCGACGAGATCGTGCGATTTGACCCCGTTGAACACTTTCTTGTGAGGTTTGTCTAAGTCGTGGGTCTATGCGAATAAGCCATAAACCACAGCGACCCTCAAAGCCAACGCAACTTATGTCATCTGTCAAATTTAGCCTGATAATGCACCAGAGTTATGGAAATTGGACACTTCGGATGCGCACCTCCCAGCGAAGCTGAGGCGGACATTTGGATGATGTTATATTCCATACATAATAGCATCGAGTGGCCTTTCAAGCAAATAAAAAATTTCGATGATGTCTCACACTTTGTTTTATTTAAATTAGTTGTTTGCAAATGTTTAGGTAAATGCAAATTTAAATTTTAATATTTTTAGATGTCAAGATGTTAAACTGCGGAAGGAATACGTTAATTTAGTGGATTCAGTCAGAGAATCAGGTGGGGATGTCAAGATATTTTCCAGTCTTCATATTTCAGGAGAACGTAAGTATTATTTAGAAGTTTTTGAGCAATAATCTTCAATGTCGAATCAAAACATTGTGTATTTCTTACCAAAATATATTTATTGTTAAAGAAATACCAGAGTAAACCAACTACATTTGTAGACATTATTTTTTTTACTAATTTACACAGAATCAACACAACCGACTGATATAATTACTATTATTTGGAATATCAATATCATTAAAATATACAACGATTCTTTGTATTTAATTATTATTGTTTTAGAGAACTATTGCGTTATGAGTCCTCCCAGAATTCATTAATATTGATAATATCCTTTAAAAGATATTTCCACATTAAAAGATGTACTTGGTATATTTCTCGATGACACTTATTATGACAAATTCGTCATATCAAATTTTTCCTTCGTCCATAATTGTCAGGCAAACGTAATTATTATTAATATATAATAAATTACCTCACTATCATATTATCACACAACATTTTTAATTTACCTCCATACGTCATGGCTCAAATGTAAGATCATGTAATGACTTCATTTAAGGCCCATCCTCTAAAATCCTAAGGGTGAATTTCAGTGGGCTATCTCTATCTCTAACGTCGTTTAGATATCTGTCTCAAGTCCAGATAAAAAATGCTTTCATCTTTTACTCGAGCCGATTATACAACCGGGACACCCCTAGAGTGACAAGTTTGAGACTACGCAATAAAATCATAAACTTGAGTGGGCATTCTTCTCTTTAGTGGTGTTATGGGTAATTAGAATAACAAGCCAGAGTAATATTGTCTATAATTAATATATTTACAACGTCACAAAGGTACATACAGGTACCAAATCCTCCTGTAATTAATTAAATTTCAAAAGCAGACACAACTGTCATAAAATGTACATTTATTGTAAATTGTAGTAGAAACATGCATAGGTATATTTGTAACGAAAATAATAATGAAGATTGTAAATTTTCAAATAAAACAAATGTATAGCAAGTTATTTTGAGGTTACGGTATTGCTGAATTCCTTTGTTTATAATGTCTTATAATTTTCTTTTGTTTTTTTGTCACATTTTTTACGGAAAAATTGGCTGTCTGAATTTTAACGTATATTAAAATTTACCGAAAATGGAAAATTATAAAAAAATATAATTATATATTAGTTATAAGAATTTGATAAGTATCACGATCAGTAAAATAGATAAAATGAAACTATATAAATATAGAATTAAGTGTAATGTTTGGTAGCATATTTTTCCACAGTTATAAATCTTTATCAACATTTTCGAATAAATTACCTTTTGGGGTCCATACCGCAAAGTAACAGTATTCTCTATTTTATATCAATAACTCTCCTTGTACTTGATATTAATAGGAATCAGTTTTAAATGCAATTGATCGTCAATTAGTTGGCAAAATTTAATTTTTTTCTGTTCTTTAGGCATAAGTTTTCGTGCTTTATATGGACATTTAATTTTTATTACGCCAGAGTCACCTTACTTATTCAGCTTGTATGAAAAAATTGTTTTTAACATTTTTTTTTCGTTTTGCTATTTCCACAAAACGTTGGATTCAATATTGCTTTCACACTTTAAGTTCTGTCTTTTTTTCTCGTAATTTATAGATTTTACGTAAATTGCTGGACGTTAACCGTTGTTGATACCAAGCAGCACTGTTATTTTGAGCCGTTGTATGATTAAAACTCTATTCTTTCTGAGATATTTTTTAGTAGGTTTTTTAAAAATTCATGTTTTGTTTTGCTTGGAAGTCTTCATCCGACAAGTGAACTAACTCTTCTGCATTTAGACCATAGTCTTTATCAGATTTATTATTACTTGTTTGTTTTCTAATAAATTTTTTGTCTTTTTGTTTTGTACCCATTTTCTGCATTTTTTTTAACAAATAAATTTTGGTAATAACAAGTTGCACGTTTGCTATATTTTGTAATATATGATGTACATATATATCACAATAAATTTATTTAATTTACCCTATTACGTCATTTTCACTCACTTTTATTTTAAATATTTATTACTCACAATTTAATACTCACAATATAATTCATTAATACAATATTTTTACACGTGATACCTATATGGTGCGTTTATTTGAGTATTCGCCAAAAATCCACATTCCACTGCCTTGAGGAACTTCAATTAATTTTACTTCCTTCTCGACTCAGACAATTGGCTGGCTTTAACAGATGGTCGAAGTCTCCTTTCAAGAAGGAAAAAAGTATGTTCCCTATAGATAAAATCCCATAACATCGACCTCGTGTCATTAGTTTAATAAATATATCCATGGTTGTCATCTAATTTAAAGGTTTTTGAACCTATTTCAGTAGCTAGTTTCAACTGCTTTTAAAATGTAAGTATGTTCCACATTTTTAGAAATTTAACAGTCAAAATTTTACTTATTTTTGTGTCATCTTAAAGTGGAAGTATACTTTTAGATTTCACTTGACTGAACCGAAAACGTTTTGAAAAATTGTAATCTTTTTGGATAAATTTTAATTATTTTTTAATAAAATAAAATATACCACTATATTTTAGAAGTCTTTACTTCTCTGTAAGTTTTTTTATGATTAATTATATCCTTGATAAGTATCGTCTTATTTTTTCTACTATTCAGAAGATTATAACTTTATTTGTTTTTGAGTTATTGAAATTAGAGAAAAATTTATTGAAACATTGTCCGTTAAAATCCAAACATAAAGCAACTTCTCCACAAGGCAACAAATACTTTATGTTTATTTTTTTATTTGTGGTTAGTTGTTGATATCCTCCCACAAAAAAATATTAGGAAATGCCTAAGATGCGCGTCTTTGGTTCTTCTTATCTCTATTACTAAGTCCGTAGTAATGTCTGGATATACGTATCACTTTTAAGTTCTCTGAAATATATTAATTGTCTGTAAGATTGTAAAACCTCATTTTCAACATCACATTACACTTAGCAGTAAATATAACACAATTATATTGCGTCTTAAATTAAAAAGGTACATTTTCAACTATGTTTTAAATATTTCAGAACTGGAGCAGTTAACTGGTGTCGCAGCTATTTTGCGATTTCCAATGCCAGAATTGGAAGAAGACAGCGAGGATGAGAATTAGTATTAAGGATACGTTGTTAGTTTTATTATCAATTAAGGGATAATAAGAATAGTCATGATTTTTAATTAATTTTTGCCATGGGGACAATCAGGAAATATCAAAATTAATCAATCAGGAGACTACTTCAGTTAAATTGAAATTTATTTGGGAATGGTATATACCAGAGGTCGGCAAGTAATTTTATGTGTGGTCCGAATACTAGAAGACAATTTGAACAAGGTCCAGAAAAAAAACAAATGATAACATTTAATGACAAGTGTCAATGTTTATTATTTTGGTACATTCTTACTGATAAAACAAAAAACCTTAAATTAAAGCGAAAAATTGCACCGACGGTCTTGAGCTAGTTGTTTGTGGTGTGGAACAACAAATTCGAAGTGTATCTTCAAGGTGGGCGTTCGTTAATCGGGAGCGATTTTTTTTTTAATTAATTTTAGAGAAAGACGTTTCGCACATATACTTTACACCAAACATAGTGACCAAATTAATTGCAAGTTGTCTGCAATTTTCATATTTTGCTAGCACATGTTTGGCCCAAAATTCTTTGGCGGAGAATTGCAAGGACACATTTTCTTGTAAGTCAATAATCTCCATTTGAAATAATGCTTTTGACAGAACAACAGCAGTTTTATTTTGAACTTATTGACTCAGTAATCGATATTCCGCAGTTCAACCTTTCGTGGTCCGGATTCGGACCGTGGTCCGCCTTTTTCCGACCGTTGGTATATACATTTTGTCATTTATTATTGCATTAAAGCTATTAAAACTTATCTAAATGATAAAATCATGTAAAATGTTAAATTACGTATTTTTGATGTAATATAGTATGTTGCCATTGGTTATTATATTTAGATAGACATTCTCTGCAATCTTTATTTGAAAAGACTTTCCTTGATTGTCGTCTAGTATTGTGAACCAATAAGAGCAATTTAGCTCTTAAGACATTTTAGTTCATACTTGTTTTATTTTGTATCTTATTCTTAAACGTAATTAATTGTTATTTTTTGTAAACAACTATTGTGTATATTATATAAACGAGGAATGTAAAATCAAATATAATGTACATAATATATTATTTATTTATATTTTTTTTTTTATTAAAAATTCCATTGCTAAATTTGTTTTTCATAATTTGCTGTCTACCGTATAAAATGTGCTTCATTCGAAAATGCGATTGGTCACAGTAGAAACACACATACAGTGTGTATTGGTTGATATTAGTTTACTCTTAACTCAGGATTCGCGGTCAGATTCTTCTATAAACTACTGTATTTAGTAGTTGTTTCTACTACTATTAGTTAAAAGTGGGAAGTGTTAGAAGTGGGATTATCTATTTGTTAGAAGTGGAAAATACCTAGCACTGAATGGTCACAATGTTCTACAATTTTAGTCTTGAATGGTTATCGAGTGGCAACAATACGTTGACCAAGCTAAAACCATAATCTTTTATTCGAGAAATCAATGTAAAACGTGATTAGTAGATACCGAATTTTAAGCCAATTTACTTTTATCTCAATTTAAACGTAGCATCAACTAACATTGATTCCTGTACAAATTGAAGCATCGAGACGCCAATGGGGCAAGTGACATTTTTGATATTGTGGAGTTGCAGTCAGGTAGTTTAAATATATAGAAAAAAATTTGAAATTTTAACTACTGAAGAAAAAAGTAGAGACCGACCGAATGTGATTTTTTTGGTCGAACTTCGGCCTATAGGATACCTTCGCCGAAGCTGACGGTGACTACAAATATACCTATTATATGTTAATAATTTAAATAATGTGCATTATATTTTTGCATAAAAATGCAGAGATGGACACAATATATAGCACAACTTTTTGAAGACAAAGAGAGAACAGAAGCACCAAAGAATTTAAGGATGATACTGGCCCTGACATTATACGAGAAGAAATTGAATATGCAATGAAACAAGCTAAAGGTGGTAAATCTCCCGGGCCTGATCGAATAGTTCCTATCGAATTACTTAAAATTGTGAATACTGAATCTATTGATCTTCTTTTGGATCTATTCAATACCATATATAGATCAGGTATAATACCTAAAGAATGGCTCCAATCAACATTCATACTGCTTCCCAAAAAAAGCCAATGCAAAGGAGTGCAATGAACATCGCACCATAGCCTTAATGAGTCATGTCTTGAAATTGTTTTTAAAAGTAATTCACAATATACATAAGAAATTAGATGAAGGCATAAGTAATACACAAATGGGATTTAGGAAAGGACTGGGAACACGAGATGCACTGTTTGCATTAAGTGTTCTTTCGTAGAGATGCTTAGATATTAATCAGGAAGTATATGCCTGTTTCATTGATTTTGAGAAGGCATTTGACAGAGTGCAGCATAATCGACTTAAAGAAATTTTATTAAATAAAAACATAGACAGTAGAGACATTAGAATCATCTGTAACCTCTATTGGAATCAAACAGCAAAAGAGGAACTTAAAAACGAACTGACCAAGGATATCCAGGTTCGCCGTGGTGTCCGCCAAGGGTGTATTTTATCACCCTTGTTATTCAATTTATACAGTGAAGCCATCTCAGAATTAGCGCTTGCCGAGATCAGTGAGGGCCTTATAATAAACGGTGAGCCACTTAATAACATAAGATATGCTGACGACACCGTCCTTCTGGCAGGAACACTAGAAGAACTGCAACACCTTGCTGAACAACTAAATATATATTGCAACGATTATGGACTAAAAATCAATTTGAAGAAAACCAAGTTCATGGTATTTACAAAAGCACAAAACATCAAAGTTAAGTTAGTACTAGATAATACAGAAATTGAACAAATATCTTCGTACAAATACCTTGGAGCATGGATCACAGAAGATACTGATCAGACAAAAGAAATAAAATGCCGCATTGAAATTGCGCGGTCAACTTTTAATAGAATGAGAAAACTTTTTTGTAATCGCGATATCAACATATCGCTCCGGATAAGAATGCTTCGATGTTATATTTTCTCTATCCTTTTGTATGGAGTTGAAGCTTGGACACTTAAAAAATCCAACATTAAAAACATAAAAGCATTCGAAATGTGGTGTTACCGACGTATTTTGAAAATATTATGGATGGATCGCAAAACAAACGAACAAGTTCTCGAACAACTAGGAAAACAATGCGAAGTTTTAAATTCCATAAAAATCAGGAAATTTGAATACTTGGGGCACATCATGAGAGGTGAAAAGTACGAACTACTAAGTAATATGATGCAGGGTAAAATCAAAGGTAGAAGAAGCGTAGGAACACGTAAAATCTCGTGGTTACGCAATCTCCGTGAATGGTTTGGATGCAGTTCAATTGAACTATTCAGGCGAGTAACCAATAAAATTATAATTGCCAGAATGATTTCCAATCTCCGATAGGAGTGGAACTTGAAGAAGAAGAATTATATTTTTATTAACTGATAGGTCATAAACAAAAATATGAAATTAGGAGATAAAAAAAATCAAAAATTTATACATTATTTGGTAATCGAAGCGACAATAAAAATAAATAACATTAAACAAGTGAGCATTTCTGATTACAGGATCTGATAGCTAATATTCGAAATAAAATATCCTAATATTATACGTAAGAAAAAGAAGCTTGTCAGCGTTTTCTCCCAACAAATTAAATCTTTTGTCAGTGTATATTTGTCCAGCAGAGCTCACTAGGTACACTCGTTGGTGCTGCAGATAAAAAAATTTTGGCTGCAGTTTTTAAAGCAGAAGAGGACCGGGACGCCGTCGTATCTCGTGGTTGAAAAATCTCCGACAATGGTTTGGTATGACCTCAGCGGAGCTGTTTCGCAGAGCAGTCAACAAAACCATGATCGCCAACATCCGGACCGGATAAGGCACTGAAGAAGTTTTTAAAGAAATATATGGATTTGACTCCCAATAAAGAAATATGTCGGCACTTCTTAAAAGCAAAGCCTCTAAATACGAATCTAGGTAACCTGCATTGGGATCGTTGTCGTTATGAATTTTTTGTGTTGTATCTAGAACGGCTGTGACAAAAGTATCATGTGAATTCCAAAGACTATTGTTTTCTAGATCTACTACATGTGTAGTTGTAGATGATGATCGTAGGAACTTTATTTGTATAACTAAACGTACAGCTATCAGATTCACGTAAAAATTTTAAAATACTTGCTTTACATGTAATTACTTCATCGTCTATCAAATATTTTGATTTAAAGCGAGGATCTAGAAGAGTCGCAATTGACAATTCTGGCAAATTTGTAATATTAACGAATCTTAATTAATGATTGACGAAGTCGTAGCTTTAATAAACTTATCTCCTCAGAGTCCTACTCTTTTGCAGAAACTTTAGCATTTTTATCAGTGGGATAACTAATGATACGCAGGCAGAATCGGCTGAAAGATCTAACGTCGCTTCGTAAAAACAAGTTAAAACTGAAATCAAATTGTTGATCAATGCCCATTCTGTTGAACTGGGAACTTTAATACCACCACATTTAGCTATATAAAAAATTATTGCAACTTTCTGTTCGAATAGCCGCTCCAACATTAGGTGAGTGCTATTCCATCTTGTTTCCACATCCTGAATTAACATATGCTGTGGCAAATTGCAAGTTTGTTGAAACTGCTTCAGGTGCCTGCAGGCTTGTTCACTCCTTTTAAAATGTCCAACAATTTTACGACATTTTTAATTGCTTTCTTAATATTGTTCTGAAGCTATTGTCTTGTGGCATTTTAAATTAATTTCTATTTAACTGGGAATAAGCCACAATTAACGGTAAAAATACGTTTATTGACGTTTCAATTTCCACTTCGGAAATCGTTCTCAAAATACAAAAACGTTTTTGTATTTTGTTCAAATACGAATTTGATTTCATTCGATTTATTTTATTTTAATTTATTTTATTTTATAGTATTTGCATTTACTTTGTTTTAATTTTTTCACACCTCTATGCAATCCCCCGCTCTGTCCATAGTCCGCGATAAGAAAGCCTATGCTTCCAATAAT